GATCTTTGCTGAAGTTGGTTGATGAAAAAGAACCAGTTTGCGTCAGAGAAACTTGGTGAATGGAAATTCAAGGCTGAAGCCTGGCACAAAACTTAAGGTTTCCTGGAGCGTTGCAGCTCACATTTTCATCTTCTCAGAATACAACAAAACCACCGACCCTGGGCAGGTCACATGAAGTGCGGCCTTTAAAGTCTGCAAAGATTCACGCCTCTCAAGATGGGCTTGTCCAATGAGAAAGGCTGACGTCCCAAGTGGGAGTTTTGAGATGCTGGGGAGTTTTTATGACCTTTTGTGTGAAAGCGTGGTAATTTGCATATGAAACTTGGATCAAAATTTCTAAAGATTCTTAGAACACTAATATGTTGCATAGGTATAAACATACAATATACACTCTCAATTAGATCATCCAAATATGAAATTAATAGAGACCAAACACGTTATATGTAAGGTTACATGAATGAGTGGTTCTATCATAAGCATGCATAAAATAGTCTACAATACAACAGATAATATACAAGTGTAATGAAATTAACTCATTTGTAATTGTAGGGAATTAATTATTATTAATTCATTCAGGTTTTGAGAGGACTCGGATCTGAATATCCCAAGTCCACCTGATTAAACCGATTTCAAATTTGTTGTGTTACACTTTAAATCAAGGGTCGTCCAGCGAGCCGTGATTTCAGTATATTTTAACAAATTGACTATGTATCTGTATTTTCCCTGGCCACGGGTTAAATACAATTATGATAATCTGTAAGCGCTTAGAGAGGTCATTATTATAAGTAAGCTACGAGCTAGGTAGCAAGGGATCTTTTGGCAATAGGGTTTAACCTTGAAATTATATGACACCAAACAATGATTTTCTATAAATGAAACATGAATTTATTTGGCTATTCTAGATTACATCAAAACTAAGCTAAAACACACATACACACACACACACAAACATACAGTTTCTTTAAAAATGAGAGTTGACGGAGTTGCATGAAGTTTCAAGTTCTAACTCGTTTTACAAGTGATTTAGATTCACCTTAGAGAATTTATCAAGCAGAGAATGTTAGCTTATGTTTACTGCTTAAATTAGCTCGTTCACCAGTTCAGCAGAGATAAGATTTGCTCGTTACTTGCGTTCTGCTGGTTGACAGCTGAAAGCTGAGTCGTTCCTCGTGGCTACTGGATGGCTGCTGGAGGGAAATTCATTCACTGATTGGCTGTTGCGGTGACGTCGGAATGACGTTTGAATGTCGTCCTTTTGGGAAAGCCCTCGTTGGGTTGGTTGGTTGCCGGGTTACGGAAGAGGCTTCAGCAGTCCTGCTAAAAGTCTGAGTTTGCAAGACTTTGCGTTCCTTGAGTTGATCTTTGCTGAAGTTGGTTGATGAAAAAGAACCAGTTTGCGTCAGAGAAACTTGGTGAATGGAAATTCAAGGCTGAAGCCTGGCACAAAACTTAAGGTTTCCTGGAGCGTTGCAGCTCACATTTTCATCTTCTCAGAATACAACAAAACCACCGACCCTGGGCAGGTCACATGAAGTGCGGCCTTTAAAGTCTGCAAAGATTCACGCCTCTCAAGATGGGCTTGTCCAATGAGAAAGGCTGACGTCCCAAGTGGGAGTTTTGAGATGCTGGGGAGTTTTTATGACCTTTTGTGTGAAAGCGTGGTAATTTGCATATGAAACTTGGATCAAAATTTCTAAAGATTCTTAGAACACTAATATGTTGCATAGGTATAAACATACAATATACACTCTCAATTAGATCATCCAAATATGAAATTAATAGAGACCAAACACGTTATATGTAAGGTTACATGAATGAGTGGTTCTATCATAAGCATGCATAAAATAGTCTACAATACAACAGATAATATACAAGTGTAATGAAATTAACTCATTTGTAATTGTAGGGAATTAATTATTATTAATTCATTCAGGTTTTGAGAGGACTCGGATCTGAATATCCCAAGTCCACCTGATTAAACCGATTTCAAATTTGTTGTGTTACACTTTAAATCAAGGGTCGTCCAGCGAGCCGTGATTTCAGTATATTTTAACAAATTGACTATGTATCTGTATTTTCCCTGGCCACGGGTTAAATACAATTATGATAATCTGTAAGCGCTTAGAGAGGTCATTATTATAAGTAAGCTACGAGCTAGGTAGCAAGGGATCTTTTGGCAATAGGGTTTAACCTTGAAATTATATGACACCAAACAATGATTTTCTATAAATGAAACATGAATTTATTTGGCTATTCTAGATTACATCAAAACTAAGCTAAAACACACATACACACACACACACAAACATACAGTTTCTTTAAAAATGAGAGTTGACGGAGTTGCATGAAGTTTCAAGTTCTAACTCGTTTTACAAGTGATTTAGATTCACCTTAGAGAATTTATCAAGCAGAGAATGTTAGCTTATGTTTACTGCTTAAATTAGCTCGTTCACCAGTTCAGCAGAGATAAGATTTGCTCGTTACTTGCGTTCTGCTGGTTGACAGCTGAAAGCTGAGTCGTTCCTCGTGGCTACTGGATGGCTGCTGGAGGGAAATTCATTCACTGATTGGCTGTTGCGGTGACGTCGGAATGACGTTTGAATGTCGTCCTTTTGGGAAAGCCCTCGTTGGGTTGGTTGGTTGCCGGGTTACGGAAGAGGCTTCAGCAGTCCTGCTAAAAGTCTGAGTTTGCAAGACTTTGCGTTCCTTGAAGATCTTGGAAGTTTCACTGAAGTGTTTGAGTTCTTAGATGGTCTCGCTTGTGCGATGTTACGGCGTGGGGCGCTTTTGTCGCGCTTACCAAGGTAAAAGCCAAAGTTCTTTTGAGTGAGAGAGCGAGCAAGAGCGTTGTGTCCATTTTAAGCAGGCTGACCTTTGGTCCAGCCCACAGTTTTAAATATCTTCTGATAAAAGTATTATCACCAGAGAATGATACAAAATATAAACTTTTCACTAACACCAATGTTCGGCGAATAAGACATGCTCTCACCCGATATTAATCTTCCCATATTTTCCACGCATATTAAATGCTTTGTCTGCTAAAACGAGTTATAAGGCATATTAAAATATCATGGTTTCAATAACACAACACACATATATATATATACGGCATAACACATGCAGTGGATACATTTTCACTACTTTTTAAACGATTTGTCTTTTGAAATCGTCATGCAAGGTTCTGTTTCTTTGTCTGTGACACAAGAAAAGTAAGGGTTTCAGTCATGCAGGAAACAGATGGTCAAAAGTCATGTGGCATCATGCTGTATAGATCCCGTGCTTGCAAGTCCTGAGGGCGTCAGTTAATTTACTTATCCTTTTCCTGTAAGGACATAATGGTTCCATTCATTGGTGGTCACAAGACATTGGGGTTTCTATATGTTGTGAAGAACCTTTACAGTCCTTGATACATAAGAAAGCTTTGTTGTCTCCTGATTGAATTAGTTTCGATCTCATGAGTAGATGAGTTTACAAGACTGACAGGAAATCGACCAAGAATATTGGAATCATGTGCTGGGTGATTAGCAAACCTCATGATGGCTGATATCAGTGTCTGTTCATATTTAGAAATCCCTACACAAGACAGCAATAATATACACAATGACCTATATGTGTGGATATGTGTGTTCATTCAAAGAAAGGTTTTCCTATTAATTAATTAGTAGAAAAGTCCATTCCTACTGTGTCTTGAAGATTTTCCTTATGGAAAAGGCAGTGATTTTCCCCACCTAAATTCCATTAGGTCGTAAATGTATCTGGTGTCAGGGTTGCCATGGTAACCGGGGGGGGGGGGGCCTGGGGTCGTTGCAGACATCCTGGCCTCCATTTTATTGGGTGAGGGGACTGTGACGATTTGTTAATCTAATGAATAACTGATTTGTTAAATCAAATGAAAAATTGTGT